ATTTATTTGACAGAGATAGATCACAAGTAGGCAGAGAGGCAGGCAGAGAGAGAGAGGGAGAAGCAGGCTCCCTGCTGAGCAGAGAGCCCGATGCGGGGCTCGATCCCAGGACCCTGAGATCATGACCCGAGCCAAAGGCAGAGGCTTAACCCTCTGAGCCACCCAGGTGTCCCTCTAGTCCAGTTTATAAGGAGCAGTATTAAAACCTAACATTTACAAAGGTGTGTTGAGGAAAAAGAATTTCTTCTGCTATCCAAGGTCCTTCTAGCTGGACTAAGAATCAAATTGACATGAGACAGACAGACAAAAATCAAATTTAACTTCATACATACAGGGATCCACACAGGCACGAAATTCCAAAGACTTACGTGAAACTTATATGAGTTAAGAAGAGGAGTAGGGGCCTGAAGATAGAGAGGTGAGAAAACCATCAGCAGGAAGTTGAGATGTTTGGAAAACAAAAAATGCAGGTGGATTTATTAGGTAAAGAGAAATCTCCATTAATACCTGTTTTCCTAGTACAGGGAGGCAGTTGAGGGGGGAGATAAAGAGTTTTTCCTGAATCTGCTGGGTTTTGATGGCTTTTAACTCAAAGTAATATTCATGCCAAAGTGGTCTCTCTTGGGGCAGCCTGCCCTTAGCCCCTACAGGTACTTCTTATATATTAACATTTTTCATTAGCCTTTTGAAATGGATCTTTCAATGAAACTGTTGGAATTTTGAAACTTTTTAGAGACTTCTTCTTGCCAATTAAAACAGGTATCCCATTCTGTTTACCTTGGGACCCCTTGCTTTCAAGTGCATTCCTTAGATGACCATATTTAACTGAAATGTTCTATCAGGGCCCTGATAATTCTGGGTTGTTTTTAGTAAAATTTTACCATTTCTGTAGATAATCACAGCTCCTGGCACCATAGTTTTGTTTTTAGACATAAAATAAGCAAGTGTGCCAGAAGGTGGTGGCATGCTTGACTCTTCTGATTTTAAGGATCCCAATAGCTAAGCTTTTGTTTACACAAAACAAGCAAACATGGGTTCCCGAATGCAACGGCAATAACCAAAAATTGTCATTGTGGACTGGCCAGGAAAAGGCTGTGTCCACCACCTGCAATTCCCAGCATGGACTAAACCAGTGACATCGATTATGGAGACTGCAGACTGGAACTGGGGAAAGGACTAAACCAGCAAACCACAGTCAATGGAGACTGCAGGTGGGAAATCAATAAGGAATTCCCCCGTGGAATTATGGACTGAGCCAAGGGCTGAGGACTGGCACTCCATTAGACTATTCTGTCTAGACTGACCTGTTAACCCTGGACGAGAAAGCCAATTAGGTCAGGAGCTGGAATGCAAAAAGAACGCAGCTCACCCGAGTGCCAGTGGCTCTCAGAAACAGCGAGAAAGACCGGGAACTCAAGTGTTCACAGACCACCACCCCTGTGTTTCCCGTTGTTCTCAAACCCAGTCAGAATTTTGCTTCAGATCCTGATGCTGCCACCAAATCTGTTTAAAAAATAAGGCAACCAAGTAAATCTGAAGATCTGGTTGGCTTTATTAAATGACTCATGACTCGGGCAGCAAATAGGAGGAGCTCCCCTGAGCTGAACAAGAGACAGATTTTGTAACTGAACCAATGCGAGTTTGCTCCTGGGTGAGTCAGAAACTACACAAGGTTAAGTCATCGCACAAAGAAAGGTTTATTTGGGGGCGCCCGGGTGGCTCAGTTGGTTAAGTGCGTGCCTTTGGCTCAGGTCATGGTCCCAGGATTCTGGGATCGGCCCCGTATGGGGAAGCCTGCTTCTCCCTCTTTCACTCTCCTGCTTGTGTTCCATCTCTAGCTGTCTTTCTCACTGTCAAATAAATAAATCTTTAAAAAAAAAGAAAGAAAGGTTTATTTGCAGCAAATAAGGAGATCACGGGGGGGGTGGGGTGGGGGATAGCTTCCAAAGCCATGACTCTGGGCAAAGGTGAATGGATTCTCTTTATTTAGGGTTAAGATGAACATTTAGATTAGGAGGCCTCATCGTCTTGTGTAAAGGTGGGTGTAAGGTCGCACATGCGCCTTAAGGAAGCATGCCTGTACATATACTACACGTATGTAGATGAGGCTCGAGAGCCCTTCCTTGGGCAGAGATTTTAGTAATAGAATGAAGTGAAGGTAGTCAGTTCTTGGTCTGTCTGCAGCTGTGAATCAGGAGTTAAGGTCAAACTGGTCTTGTTTGTCTGGGCTGGCTGGAAGTCTTGTCAGGGCAGTCACTATTGCCGGAAGCGTGGTTTTGGTTTCTATTTACCTGCATTAAGAGATAAACTGGAAAGGAGAGCTTAAGGGGACACCTGGGTGGCTAATTTGAGGCTGCCTTCGGCTCAGGTCAGGATCCCAGGATCATGGGATCAAGGCCGGTATCAGGTTCCCTGCTAGGCAGGGAGCTTGTCGCTCTCTCTATCTGCTGCTTCCTCTGTTTGTGCTCTCTCTGTCAAATAAATAAATGAAATCTTGGGGGAAAAAAAAAAGAGCTTAAGGAAACATGTGGGCCAAAAGTTGGTGAGTATAAGCAAGTGAGCAGTAAAGGTCAGGTCTTGGGGTGTAGCTGGTGATGGTTTTTTAAGACACAGGGAAGGCATTAATAGAGGAAAAAAGGGGGCACCTGGGTCTGTTAAGTGTCTGCCTTTGCCTCAGGTCATGATTCCAGGGTTCTGGGATGGAGCCCCATGTCGGGCTCTTTGCTCAACAGGGAGTCTGCTTCTCCCTCTCCCTCTCTTTCTCTGTGCTCTCTCTCTCTCTCAAAGAAATAAAATCTTAAAAAGAAAAAAGGGGGCGCCTGAGTGGCTCAGTGGGTTAACCTTCTGCCTTCAGCTCAGGTCATGATCTCAGGGTCCTGGGATCAAGTCCTGCATCGGGCGCCCTGCTCAGTGGGGAACCTGCTTCCCCCTCTCTCTTTGCCTGTCTCTTCCTACTTGTGATCTCTCTGTCAAATAAATAAAATCTTTAAAAAAAAAAAAAAGGAATTTATTAGCAAGAGACACATTGTTTAGGCAAGGTTGCCTTCTTAAGGGTAGTGATAGGGGCTTACCAGTAAATTCCTAGAATTGACCCGGAAATTCTGTGTTGATTGGTAAAAGGTTACATTTTCCTGGTGTTGCAATGACAGATAGGTTAGGTATTAGGTCTTGGTTTACTGACTAGGGGCACTAAGTAATGCAGTTACGGGCCTGTGGTTTTCTTTTTAACATCAGTTTAATTAAAAAGGATATAACTCATGAACAGCCAGATGGAAGGGATGCATCGGGAAAGGGAAGGGACCCAGAGCCCCATGCCCTCTCCAAGCATGCCACTCTCCCCACATCTCCATGTGTTTGCCCAACCGGAAGCTCTCCAGACCCCTTCATTATATAGGCATACTTGATTAAATCATTGACCGTGGCTACTGATTCAACTTCCAGGCCGAGTCCCCTCCCCTGAGGTCGGGGTGGGACTGAAAATTCCAACTCTCTAATCCCATGACTGGTTCTCCCACACTGACGTCACTTGGATCAGGGGCATCAGCTGGATCACCTGCGTTAGCTGGAATCACTGAGGAGATCAGGGAAGTATCCAAAGTGCTATGGCAAGCTAGTGGCAATTCTGGGGCAATTCATTAAAGGACACATTAGGCTTTTCGTGTACCAGGCACTGTGCTAGGTGCTGGGGACATAGAGAAGTATGAGAGGCAATGCCCACCCCGTTCAGTCTTTGCTCTTCCTCCTTTCCCCTGTTTCTGGTTCTTTCCACTTGGATGAGGTATGATTTCCTGCTGAGTTCCTTTTGGGACCTGCTGCCTGGGTGCTGGTAGCGAATGGTCCTGTTGCTGTGGGTCTCCTTCTGACTCCAGGTAGTGGGATGTCGTACTTTCCCTCTACAGAGGCAATCCTCTCCATCCTTGCAGAATCTGGTGGTATTAATCAAGGCTTCTCTCCACATAAAAGATTTGTTTTGGTCAAGAGCCACTCCAAAATGTGCCACTTTGGCGTATTGATTATTTTAAACTAAAATGACTTAAGAAATAGATGATGCAGGGCGCCTGGGTGGCTCAGTTGGTTAAGTGTCTGCCTTTGGCTCAGGTCATGATCCCAGGATCCCGGGATCGAGTCCTTCATTGGGCTCCCTGCTCTGCCTCTCCCTCTCCCACTCCCCCTGCTTGTGTTCCCTCTCTCGCTGTGCCTCTGTCGAATAAATAATATCTTAAAAAAAAAAAAAAAAAAGAAAGAAAGAAACAGCCAATGCAAAAAGAACACTCACTTCTGGGTACCTGGGGGGCTTAGTTGGTTAGACATCTGCCTTCAGCTCAGGTTATGATCCCAGAATCCTGGGATCAAGTCTTGAATCAGGCTCCCTGCTCAGTGGAGACCCTACTTCTCCCTCTGCCAGCCACTCCCCCTGCTTGTGCTCTCTCTTTCTCTCTCTCTCTCTCACAGTCTCACTCTATCTCAAATAAGTAAAATCTTTTTAAAAAGTCTTAAAAAAAAAAAAAAAGAACACTGACTTCTTTATCTTCAGAAAACAAGAAATAAATCTCTTGTATAAAAAGTGGCCAATCTGTGCCAGGAGGTAAAGAGATTCTTATTATCAGGCATAGGAAGTTTAGAGTCAAAAAGGCTATAAAACAACCCTTGTTACCTTTTTAAATTTACTACTGCAGCCCACATTCTGTTTACAATTCCTTACTCACTGAAGCTTCCCAAGTTAAGTTTTCTTTGTCCTGTCAATTCCTCACAGAGTTATTGCTTCTTTGTCTAAAAAGTGTAACAACTACCTCCCTTGGTCATTTCTTTAGGTCTCAGTGTCATTACCCTGTCTCTGTGTGCAGGTAATAAAACTCTTTTTTTCCCCCTCCTGTTACTCTGTCTCATGTCCATTTAATTCTTATACCAGCTGGAAATCCTTGGGAACACAGGATTTGGTTCCTCCCCTCCAGCTGGGGTGGCCAGTGGGATCAACTTCCACTGGATATTTGCTCTGAAGCTTCCACAGCTTCAAGATCTTGGGAGAACTGACATACGGCCGGCAGAAGGTAAGATTTCTTACCATGTCGGCCTCCCCAAATCTGTCTGTGAGGTCCGGTGGAGTGAGAATAATGACAATCTTTTACTCTTTCTCTCAAATTAAATTAGCAGGAGAAAATATTTGTGGAACTAGTTCCTTTGGCTTAGCGACTCTCAGAAAAAAATTTGGTAGAGCACTGTTTGCTAAGTGATCCATTTCCTTCCAGAGATGGTCTTTGTTTTCCTTTATCTGTGTCTTTTGTGTTTTTTGTCACAAAAGGGGATTAAATCCATAAAGCGTAGCGTTCATGGTTCACATCAGACAGTGTCTGTGTGGACATACTTCATACTTTACTGTGGGTCCCCAGTGTAAAAACTAGATGAGGTTTTTCTTTTTATCGTGTTCTCTGTCCTAAGAGCTTGGCTTTGTGACCAGTGAGAACATTTCCTCTGGTCTTGGCCATCTGGAAGGTGCATTTACTGGGGTGCACTTTGGTGGCAAGTTGAAAAGACTGGGGATTGGAGACACCCATTTACAAGCAGCCTTCTCTTTGCCCAGTTGTGCCAGCTCTCAGGGGAGTTTGTCATAAGAGGTCCTAGACTATAAGGGCCTTGGTTGTCTCAAACCTCATTGCTTGTGAGTGCTAGAAAAATCCCATTCCATTAGCACCTGCCTCCTGTCACAGATTGGTGAGTCTGTGACTGGAAGCTTCTTACCTTTGTGGGAGACTGGAGACAACCTAATAATACCACGTCATTCTTCCCACCTGTCCCTGAAGGTCTTTGCTTCCTTAGACTATCTTGGAAGTAGACTGTTAGATCATGGGGACTTCATCAACTATGCCCTCTCTAGGGACATCTCTTGTATCTTTGGTCAAACCATAAAAAGGCTTATTGGTTTGAGTGGCTGTGAATTGACATTAATAACAAAATCCTATTCATCATGGCCAGAGGATGGATCCTTGAAATTGGCTAAATTAAGGAGTGCCTGGGTGGCTCAGTCGGTTAAGTGTCTGCCTTCGGCTCAAGTCATGATCCTGGTGTCTTAGGATGGAGTCCTGCATCAGGTTTCTTGCTCAGCCGGGAGCCTGCCTGCTTCTTTCTCTGCCTGCCACTCCCCCTGCTTGTGCTCTCTCTCTCTCTGACAAATAAAATCTTAAAAAAAAATTAAAAATTGGCTAATTGTCTTATTAGTATAAGGCTATCCTTGACAAGATAAAAGAACAGACCCAGACTTAAGAAGTTAATATCTACATCCATTGTAGATTTCCCTTCCTCAAATCTGACCCCATTTATCGGTTTTAACTTCTCTTTCCCTACAAGATTTTTTGTACAGTACTCTGGCTTAATCTCAAGTTCAAAGTATACAAACTACTCTTATAAATGCTGGAGGCCACTAAGTGAATTTAGCATAAGAACCTGAGACGGCCAGTAAGGTTTGCTTTGCTGTAATCAGGCTCTGCCAACCTTAGGCATTTCTATGCAATGACCTCGGCAGATGTAGCTTAGAACTGTGCACAACTCCCCCAACCTGCCCCCAATTCACAGAGAATTCATGTCCCTTGAACAGCAGCAGATCTTTTAAATTATAAAGCCCTTTTTCCTCCACTTTCAAAAGATCCCTACCGAATTTAGAGGAATTAGAAAGGTTGATGGCTATTCACAAGCTCACTCAAAGAGAACTTGACTGGCAGCTAAGGGAAGTTTCTTTCAGCTTCTGATTATGCTATGGGTATGAGGCAAGTCAGAAGGGCCCCGGAACAGAGCCCCCCTTCACAGAGGAAGCTGATGACCAGAATTTCTCCTAAGCCCTCCTGCAATTAATCAGTGGAAGGCTTATCTAAGGGCCTAAGATCAGAAAAGTACAAGGTTAAATTATGTACTTAGAAAAAAAGCTTTTATTAAAACACTTTATACAGAGTTTATCAAGGCATAAAGCTCTTGATTCCTGTTTTAGTTAAAAATCTCCCTGGTTTATATACATATATAAAGTTTAGTTAGAAAGGCAGATCCATCCCTTGATATTCAGGCTGCAATCCATGATCTTTGGGGGAATTAAAGGCAACTGTCTTTGTCTTACAAATCCCTACAAAACAAAACTAGAAATAAACTCTAAAAATAAGTCAAAGCCCACCTATTTTTACCAATCTCAAAACCTTGCCTATTCCTCTCTAGATGCTTTATAGCTATCACAAAAGATCGAATATTGGAACAGAACTGTCCTGTACCGAAGAAAAGAAACAGTTTTTTTAAATAGCAATTATCTCAAATTTCTTTAAAACAAACAAAACAACTTGCATTCTTTCTCTGTCTCTTAGAGTTATAATTTCAACATGTCTTTGAAATGAAAACACAGTCCACAATTGTTTGAGACTGAAGCAAAAAGGCAGGGAAGGGAAGAGGGCTTTTTAAAAAATACAGATTGCTAAGGGGGCAACTGGATGGCTCAGTCGCTTCAGACTCCTGATCTCACCCCAGGTATGGATCTCAGGGTCATGAGTTCGCGCTCAGTGATGAGCTTTATGCTGCATGTGGAGCTTACTTAAAGAATAAAAATACAAATTGCTAAAAGGGCTCTTATACCCAGGCTCTAGCATCTCTAAGTGGATAATATGTCCCAAAAAGTCCACCTTGGAGAAAACTTGGGTACTTTGTGCCTTTGTGGTAAAAATTTTCTACCCCCTTTTCTAGGACCGAAGAGCCATTCTTTGAAATATAAGCTTCAAAAAAAAGTTTCTCACCGGAAGGAAAAAAAAAGAGAGCGAGAAAAGGTATATAAAAATCAGGCCTATAACGTTCTCTCCACAAAACAAAAACTATAGGATCCTTGTTTACATCTGTAAGTATGTCCATATTGTTAAATAAGAGAAATCCATCAAAGTAAATGTTAAAGATTAAATTGGCTTTATAATCAGTTCATGAATGGGGCAGCATCCCATCCAACAATTAGAAAGTAACTCCAAAGTGCTACAGAAAGGAACTGCTTTTAGAGGTAGAGATGGAGCGGAAAAAGATAGTTATTAGCAAAGAATCCATGTTGTAGGCAATTTGCCCTCCTAAGGGAAATGGAAGGGGTCTGTCAATAAACTTCTCGTGTTGACCAGGAAATGCCATGTTGCCTGGTTAAAGGTTACATTCCTGGGGAGTTGAAACTGCAGTTTGTTTAGGTATTAAGTTTTGGTTTACTGACTTGGAGCCTTAAAACGAAGTGATGTCATATTGGACCTGTGGTTTTCTTTTTAACAATAGATACCTTGTAAGTGTGAGATTTACCTACATGTGGATGGTAGTACTAAAATTAGTTCATAAAAGAGCCCTGTTTAGTCAGTTTCAAGGCAAGTGCTTATTTTCAAGAACACATGATTTCGGAGAATATTCGTTGTTAAAGCTAATTTAAGGTTGTCAGCGTAGTTAAAATAGACATGTCTCTAAAATTACAACATTAAAACTAAAACTTTTATTCTGTCTCAGTTCACTTAGAGTCAAACAGGCTGCTACTATCTCTGTTTTTAAAAAATGATTGACTTGGAGGGATAACTGACTTTGATATCTCAGAGTTTTTATGGGTAATCTAAGCATAATTGTTAAGAACAAGTAAATTAGATATAAATTTTAAAAGGTTTTTTAGGTAAACTTTTAAAATAGTTTCCCTCATCTTTTTGGCAACTTGAAACCTTGAAGTTTTGCTAAGTGGTGAGTTAGGTTGAATTCATTGAGTATCTCGGTCATTTCTAGATAGACAATAAGCATTAAATACTGAACATAGGTTTATCTACTTGTGGTTTCCTTATTACTTTAGCAAAACTAAAGATTTAAGTCTCCTAGTAAACATGTTCTGTTCTTTATTAAACTTTTGTACTATGAAGAAACATATGTTTCTAGAAATTATGAAATATATCCATAAACTTGCCAATCTAAAAAATGCTGGAGAAACAGACAACTTACAGTTGTTTACTACTACTTCACTAGAAATTAAAATTTCTAAGGATTAAGAGTTGTGATTAACATATGACTAAAGCTGCTAAAAATTATAAGGGAAATAACTCTGTATGATGCATGTTTCTGGTAGGAAAAAGTATGAGGAATGGCAATACATTTTTGTTGAGGGAAAAAATAAGTTTTCCTAAAGTGAGACTAGTGATTTAAAAAGGGAAAACTTAAAATCTGAGGTCCTTTGAAAAATAATTTTATATATAGCTAAGGTTAGAATAAGTATATTTAAGAGTGAGTTTTAATATCAAAAGAACACTGATGGAAAATTAGAATTTGTTTTTTCTCTCTGTTAAAAGAAATACTTTCTTAGATGATTGGTTTGGTTTTTATGAGAAATTACAAACAAAATTTTCTTTACCTTTTATGTAATCTGCCTAGAAAACGATTTTATGTTTTGTTTTTTATCAAATCTTTGATCATTCAAGAAGACAGTCTTCTTAATATTAAAGTAGCTAAGACTTGTTTACAACTATGAAAACTTCTGTATTTGCCTCTCATTGTCACTTTGGTTAAATCATTTAATAGTTTTATAATCTGTGATCCTTCTTTTCTTTTAAGATTTTATTTATTTATTTGACAGGGAGAAAGAGATCTTAAGTAGGCAGAGCAGGAGGCGGGGTGGGGGTGGGGGAAGCAGGCTTCCCGCTGAGCAGAGAGCCTGATAGGGGGCTCGATCCCAAGCTCCCGAGGTCATGACCTGAGGCAAAAGCAGAGGCTTAACCCACTGAAGCACCCAGGCGCCCCATGTGATCCTTCTTTAATGCTTGAAACTTTTGATATTTTTTGACATATTTCCCATAATCAAAATTTTTTAATGGTCTTATATTTAAGTAATTTCTACAGCCAACATGGGACTTGAACTCATGACCACAAAGTCAAGAGTCACGTATTCTTCCAACTGAGCCAGCCAGGCGCCTCCCAAAATCAAATTCTAAAATAAAGTCTTTTGCCTACAATCTAACTGGAATGTTCCAGAGGGCCCTTGGAACATTTTAGTGATTTTTTTTCTCATTGTTAAAGAGAGAAATTAGGCTTGTTTGGTATGTTAAATTACATGGGAAGTGTTGTCAAACAAATAATACTAAACTGTCTTATATTTGTGTAGATATATGCTATTAAAGTAACTATTCTGGAAATTATATGAAACTTCTAGAAATTTGATATGTCTTGGTATGTTGTTATCTTAAAATGTTACATGTCACAAAAATAACCAAATTTTCTTGTCAATTACATTGTAATGAATATTAATCAGATTTTTAATCATGGGTATTTTTAAAGTCCTTTGTCATTTGTAGACAGTTACACTTTTACTCAGATGCTTTTACAAAAGCTTCCTGCAACTGTGTTTCATCCTCAATGAGAGAGGAAGAACCTTGAGTATAGGTTCCTGATAACCTTAAGATCATAAGACTAAATTTGTTAAGAATTTCTGGAACTAGTAGAAAAACCAGATTCAAGCAGAAAAAAAATTAATAACATGAGACTAAATGAACTGAGGACAAGTATAATTTTTAAAAAGATTTATTTATTTATTTATTTATTTGAGAGAGAGAGGGAGAGAGAGTGGAGTAGGGGAGGAGCAGAGGGAGAAGCAGGCTCCCCACTGAGTAAGGAGCCCAATGTGGGGCCCCATCCCAGGACCCCAAGGTCATGACCTGAGCCCAAGGCGGATGCTTAACTGACTGAGGCACCCTAGGATGATTATAATTTTTATGATTTTTTTGTTTGAAACATTGTTGATCTTTTAAAGTTTTATTTTTCCAGATTTAAGAAAACATCCTCTTAAGCTAATTATGACCTGCAGTAATTTGATAAAATAAGAACTTTCCAACAAATTAAAATACTTACCTTTTTCTTTCTGTCTTATCCCTCCAGAATTTTCAGTGAATATTCTTATATTTTCATGGCAATATTTTCATTTACATAAATTCAACAATAATCTGTTCTCCTTGTATCAACACATAATTGGAAACATTGATTATATTACTGAGGCTTTGATTGGCATGTCTTAGTTGAGGGAAACCTGCAAAAACTGAGGTATGACCAGACAGCTTTAAGGAAATAATGTTGATTATATGGAGCCAATAAGGCCCTTTGAAAAAACAGCCCAATACCTTGCTTATGGGCTTGCTAGCAACCTTTTAGGTAAAGGACGTCACTTCTTGGCAGGTGCAGGAACCTGGGGCTATTTTGCAGATCTCAACAGAGAGGAATTAACCTGAATCTAAAGATATTATAGGCAAAGTCTGATGGCAAGTATTTGGCTTGGCTTCTGACCTTGAGAGGCTGTTAAAAGTTCAATGTAGAGATTCCCTGTAAAAAGTTCCAGCAAAGCAGATTTAAAAGAGTATATATGATCAGTTGCTATTCTTGCTGAACTTACATATATAATCAGGCCAACATTGGTTTCCCCCCCACCTCGGTTTACTTTATAAACAAACTAGTCTTAATTTCCTATCTTTGGTAGAATGATAGTGATTATAAAGAGGAAAATTATGTTTTTGTAACACACCTTTATGGATATTGGATTCTAAAACAGTTCTTTATAAACAAAACTAGATCCTAATTTTTTCTAGGTGCCTTCAGTGTCCGGCCACAATTCCTAGTTAACATCTCCAATTTTTTCCCATAATTTTGACGGGAATCATTTCATAAATAAAACTTCCCCTTTTCTTGAAGCCCTGCAACTTAATACAAACAACTTTATATAAACTTGAGTGAAATCATAACAGCTCATTTATAGACTATCTTCATGCCTGTTGTTCTATGGGAGCAGAAGGGTCACCAGAGACACTTGATGTACAAACTGAAAGTCTTCCAGATTACCATTGCCTGCCCTCACCCTGTTTGAAGATGCATTTAGCCTGACATCTAGAAATCTCCACTGGCTACTCAGAACTCAGAAACCAGTTTTATAATTTATCTAATCTTAACCATTGCTTTTCTTCTGCTTTCATAAAAATGCCTCTTACTTATTACATGATTAATGAAATCATAGGTTTAACTTTGAAAATACATAAGCATCACAGCCTTCTGACTTGAGTTTTATTAAACTAACCTATTGTCAGAACTAAAAGACCATTCAGTGATATAAAACAGTTTGCCAGCTCAACTTCCTTTGGAAGTTTCAGAGTAGGGGATCATAGGGACCAAGAGCAGGCCACCCCAAAATGTGACACTTTAGCATATTGATTATTTTAAATGAAAGTTACTTAAGAAACAACCTATGCAAAAAGAATATTCTGACACCCATCTGCCAATTTTGTCTCCCTAAAACATGAAAAAAATCTCCCTATGCAAGGTAGCCTGTCCATACTGAGAGGTAAAGAGATCCTTATCCCCAGAGACAGAAAATTTAGAGCCAAAAAGGCCATATAAACAACCCCTGTTACTTTTACTAATTTACTACCCCAGCCCAAACTGTTTAGAATTCCTTACTAAATGAAGCTCCTCAAGTTAAGTTTTCTTTGACTTGTCGATTCCTCACAGATCTATTGTCTGTTTGTCTAAAAAGTATGAAAACTGCCTGCTTTGGTTATTTCTTTAGGTCTCAATTTCATTTGGGGGCCTCCAGGCACATTTCATAAATATTATTTTTTATCCTATAGATACGTCTTATGTCAATTTAATCCCTAGACCAGCTGAAAGGTCCTGAAGGGTAGAAAGAAATTGTTTCTTCCCCACAGAGACAATTTCCCCAAGCTCTCTCCTCTGTAAGAGCAGAAAGGCTACATTTCAGGAGCTTGGCACGTGGTAGGTGGCTTAGCAAAGCTGATGCAGTGACAGTACTGATCAGGGGTCACAGCTCAGGTACCACAGTAGGGGCTGTTGGTCCCTAACCAGTTACAGTTTCAGCCAATAGTGTTCTACTCCAAGAACTAGTTATTCATCTGAAGACCTTCTCTTGATGTAATATATGCTACATAGGCCACAAATGATAGATTGACTAGGTGGTAACACATGAGGACAGGGGAAGGGTTATTTAGTCCAGTGATTAAATTTCTGTCATGTCTTGAGCCTGAGCCTCTGGGCTGTGACCTCCACTAGTGCTTCTCAAGTTCTCTCCCGCTTGAGATAGGAAGGCTAGAAGGGCTACAGTTTCAGTTTGAAACTTCCCTTTCCCCAGGTTAATTAGGCTCTGGTAAATAGTTTCCCTGGAGGGCAGCCTTTTGTTAAGGAAAACAAAATGCTCCATTGGGCATATTTTCCCCCTCCCCCTCTAGAAAGCTTGAAGCAGAGGATTTGTCTCCACTCTTCTCCCAGGGGATCTGTGGGGTTCTTAGAGGTAAAGCTCACAAAAGTGTGATGGCCTCTCTGATACTGGGACCTCCCTAAGTTTTTTACTTTTAAGCTTGTCCACACAGAGTGTCTGGCAATTAGTCAATGGCAGTTAATGTGATCATACCAGTTCTGGCCCCAACCATCTATATCTTAGAATGTGACCTCATTTGGAAACAAGATTGTTTCAGATAGAAGTTAAGATGAGGTCATTCTGGAATAAGGTGGCCACTAAACCATATGACCCATGTCCTTTTAAGAAGGGGAAATCGGGATTCAGACATGCATACAGTTAAAGTGCCATGTGCAGACACAGGGAAAAGACAGCCATTTATGCAGAGAGAGAGAGAGAGAGGTCTTGAACAGATCTTTCCCTTGCCGTCCTCTGGGAGAACCAACTCCACAGACACTTTGATCTGAAACTTCTTGCCTCTAGAACCATGAGATAATAAATTTTTGTTGTTCAGACTGCCCAGTTTTGGGCACTTTGTGATGACAACCCTAGAAAACTAAAACATACCTATCCTTGTTAGATCCTCACAGATCCTTGCAGTAAGAGTCCTTTGTTATGTAAGATTTGTTTACATCTGTGTCTACGATGCAATACCGTAAGGCTTGCTTAGAATAGATTTTGTAATGTATTTATAAAGTACTAGTCCAGGAAATCACATGATTAATTGTGTTTTCTCTCTATACATGTCAGGACTTGCTCTGCTTATCAGCGGTCATCAGACTTCAGCATGATCACCTCTCAGTTGCTGGCTTATGTGGCAGTTTCAGTTCTCTGTGTCTTCAGAGTCAGCTCCCGGGATACGTTTATTGCAGCTGTTTATGAACACGCAGTGATATTACCTAATGCCACCCTGATACCAGTGTCCCATGAAGTGGCATTAGCATTAATGAACCAAAATCTGGATCTTTTGGAGGCAGCAGTCACTTCAGCAGCAAACCAGGTACCATCTCTCAGGTGTGCTGGATTCCACCAGGAGAAGGAGTAGGGTCTTAGGAGGCAGGATCTCTATCAGGTTTGGTTATACTTTTGGAAGACATATGTGTCAGGGTAGCCAACAACTTTGTTGTACAATCAGACTCCTAGCTCCTTCTCAAAGTTACTATAGCTGGGGCTCCCTAATAATGAGACCAAGTTAAGAAAAGAATGGCTTCATCATCATGAAGGAAGCAGCAGACCGTTGAGGAAATTGCTGTACATTCAATGACTTTGCTGCTCTATTTTGCTACACATGGAGAGTGGAGGACAAATGAGTCAAGACCGGATGCTGTGCTCAGAGTATCAGCAGCCTTGATATACTTTTGTGGTCCTAAGCTTGTGCAGGTTTTTGGATTAATTCATAACATCAAAATAAAGTTAAGTTGCAAATTACTTAACAAGATGTATTATGTACTTCATACTTCATTCTAATTATAGATTAACTATATATTAATGCATATAAGCCCTGAGTTGAATGAAGGGTTAAGTATAAGTGTGTAGTTTGAATGGATATGATTGAAACAAGGTATTTGTAGATCAGGTGTAGAGGAGGACTTTGTGAAGTGGGATGAGTCATGAATCCATACATATCACTGATATCTACCAATACATATTCTTAGACAATACAAACATTTTAAAGATTAATAAGAATTCTGAGGTTCTTTTTTATCCTTAGTAGGACTATTTTCTTAAAGGCTGCAGCTTTCAGGGTGACTCTCCCATCTGAAGGTGCCCAGGTGCGTCTGGGGTGTACCTCTGGGCTTGGCACCTTTAAGGGGAGTCAGTGTCTGAGTGCCCTCCTTCTGAGAAGCCAGAGTCACTTTTGCAGGGTACAGAGCAGGGAAGGCTGGAGTGGAGCAGGAAGTGGAACAGAGACTTTGAGTATAAATCGATCCCATGACACCCGGGCACAAAATCTACCCAAAGTCCAGGAAGGGGGCCAATTTTAAGAAGAGTCGGGTTTATGCTTAACAACGGCAGTGGATAGCAACCCTGTGAATAACCTGGAAAACTCTTGATGTTTATGAAAGAATGGAAACGTTATATAGAAATGGTGATGTGGGATTAAACAATGCAATTGTGCAAAGAAAATAAATTTTAAAAATATAGAAAACAAAAGATTAAGATTGAAAGGAAAAGAAAAAAAAAAAAAGGCCTGGATGGCAGTTGCTCATCCACCCAGTTCCTCAGGTCCCCTTACAGACCCTATCTTGGATTGTTTGCTTCTCTGAGAAATATTTTAATTAAGCTACATTTTTAACAGGGTGCAGATATTATTGTGACTCCAGAAGATGGTATATATGGCTGGAACTTTAACAGGGAAACTATCTACCCATACCTGGAGGATATCCCAGACCCTGAAGTCAACTGGATCCCCTGTATTAATCCCAGAAGGTATTAATCCCAAACAGGTAGTGGACAATCCAATCATGAACATGCACTTACTTTACTTGGGAGGACTTTTTAGTAGATCACCGCTTAAGATCCACTATCAACTCTAAGTTCAAGATAGTTTTATTTTTCCTCTTCTGTGGATACATTTATTAGGGAAGTGATAAGAATTGTGAAATCACAGAAATCAGTGCCGCAAGCTAACACAGAAATCATCAAATTCAATGTGAATATATTTCCATTGAGGGAAGGAATCTGGAGAGACAATAGCATAACTTGCTTAGGGTTACAGGGGTAGTTGGTTAGCGGGAGAACCAGAATCAGACTCTAGTCTTCTGACTTCTTACCAGTGAAGAGAAAATTGTTGCCCCACATGGGCCTGTAATTTGAAAACTGAGTGAGAAAAATGGCAAAATATTCATTTTTAGAATTAAGAATTTTCCTTTAACATTAATAAAATGGCTAAATGAACTTAATGTATATGAAATCCCAAGAGCTTAAGGTGATTGTAAATGTAGCAGAAACGGGTAAGTGGTTTAAGTCAGGTCCAGAGTAAAGAAATACAATCTGCGATGAAAGTAGCACTATTATTTTTAATGTAGATAAAGCAATACCTTATATATCTCAGAGAATCATCTCAGCTATCTCACTTCTTTCTAAAGCCACTATTGCTAACATCATAGGAACTCCTTTTTTGGAACTGCTCCCCAAACGACACAAATTAACTAATATAACTGCTTATAGAGACACCTTGATTTTGACAAGTTCAGTATTATTTATCTTAATCATCTACTTTCTTCATATTTCATTGTATCATAATTTTTTATTTGACCAGCTCTCATGCCGGGTTTTCAGTTTCTGAAGGGCAAGCACTCTTTGTGCTCTTCCGTCATGTGTTGACTTCGCTTGTATCTGAAAGACCTTTTCCTAGAACCAAATTTCCAAGGGCCTCCTGAAAATCCCCACCAGGCTATTCCATGCAATCCATTTCAAGGAGTCTGATTGCCCTGCCTATTTTCTATCAGCTAATTGCCTCTCCATCCCTTGCTTTCATTCATTTATTTAACATTTGAGTGTGTGTGTGTGTGTGTGTGTGTGTGTGTGTGTGTAGGCTGAGGAAATTAAGGCCATCCCACCTCAAGTTTAGCTGATGTGGGAACAGAGGCAGAAGAAAATCATTAAAATTCCTTACCTACTGACAAGCCCTTGAAACAGACTGAGTGGCTCTCCCCTGGGGACTCAACTGCCCTTACCTTGAGGTTTCGCTAAGGACAATCCTAGCCTGACCGACCCCCTACCCTGACAGGTCTGACCAGGACCCTGTAAGTCTACTTTAACAATTCCTGTAGGAAACTTTATCTCTAAACCTCCAAGATAGTGTCGAGAATCGTTCCTAAGCATATGGCCCACTGATATACATCTAAAGGGTCTCACGAGAAGATTTTTATTACTGGTAATAAATAACTTTCTCCCAATAATAGCTAGCCCCTCAAGGTCCTGGAGACCTTGCTTCCTTAGAGACTTACATCATCCCTAATCCCCTTTGTCCTCACCCACTGCCAAGTCCACACCTACTCTGCCTTTAAAAACTGACTGTAATCTGGTTCGGGGTCCAAGTCCCTACTCCGCTGTGCTGGGTATACTTGGGCCCAAGCTTAAGCTTGTCAAATAAACCCTCGTGTGATTGCATCGGTGCTTGGCTCCTTGGTGGTCTCTTGGACGTGAAAACTCGGGCATAACGTGTGTGTGTGATTGTGTGTGAGTGTGTGTGTACATATTATGTATAGGTACTATTCTGTACAGTAGGGTGGACAAAATAGATTAAATGATGATATTAAAATTATATAAATATAAATATAAAATTATAGATTAAAAGATGATATGTAGTAAAGGTAAATGCTATGGAGAAAAACAAGCAGGATAGGTGAATATGGCCGCCAGCGTGGGGCCTTAATTTTTGGTCATCAGTTGTCTTCATGGTGACATCTAAGCAAAGACTTGGAAGAAAAGAGGGAGCAGGTCATATAGGTTCTAACAAAGGTTTTTGTAATCTTTCCTGGATATAACAAACAGTCTGAAAAATGTAGTTTAGATGTATATATATTTGAATATATATATATATGTATGTATACATATATATATATAATCTTTCAGGATTAAGAGAGACAGGAGGGAAGTATGTAATCAGATTGTTTTAGAAATACCATTACCAAATATATACTTCATGTACAATATATTCTGCCAGTTGTGGCGATCTGAAAAGACTTGGGCTAAATATGTTTCAAGGTTTGATGTGTTGTGTTTACATCTGTCTTTCAGACATTAATTGAAGCAAATGAGAGAGAGGAACTTATCATAGTCATTCTTTATATGTAATGCATTAGAATAATTCTTTGTAGTTTCTCATCCTTCTTGGTCTTTTCAAGGATATGTTTTTGTAGATAATTGCTATGGTTTTGCTTATATTAATTGTACCAATTAGTAGATTTGATACTCAAAGCTTTTACTACTATTGCCAGCAGATGGCACTAAATTTCCATACATTCAACAGTTACTTTACCCTTCTCAGCTATTCTTCAATAACCTATCTGCTATTAACCATTTATTACTTAAAGGTTGTGCCAATCGAGGATAAATATGGCTATAATGTTACATGTAGTGGGTTTCAGTTTTGAGGATTGCATTTTAATTGCTTAAGGGACAACTACAGTCAACATGATAAAGAATAAAGAAATCAGAGGCACCTGGATGGCTCAGATTTCTTAAGCATCTGCCTTTGGCGCAGGTCATGATCTTGGGGTCAGGTCCTGTGGTTGAGCCTCAGATTTGTCTCCCTGCCCATCAGGGAGTCTGCTTATCCCTCTCTCAGCCTATTCCCCCTGCTCATGTGTGTTCTCTCTCTCCATCTTTCTCTGTCTCTCAAATGAATAAATAAAATCTTAAAAAATGGAATTTAAGAAATCAATTAACAAGTGTTCCAGTATTTCCATTTTCTCATACTGTCTGGCACTGCCCTAGCCCAATTCTTGTTGCCTTTAATCTGAGCTAATGCAACAACTTCCTAATGATTTCCTACATTTAGTCTCTTAATCATTCTAGTACATTCTATACCCTAATGGCCTATCATCTTAAAGAAAATTCAGATCATGTTACTTCTGTTCTCAAAATCTTTTTGTCTCTTAAATTTGAAAGACGTTTTTTAAACTTCTTGTGACTAGTTCTATCTTTTATGACCCCAGATGCATCTTTTAAAATTCCCTTTTTGTTTTTCTAACCTACCAATGCCTCCGCATTGACTAGTTCCCTGAACAAGATTTCCCTTTTCTTAATATCCAAGGGTATTTTTTCCTAATTTTTTTTATTGTGGTGAAATACATAATATAAAGTTTACCATCTTAACCATTTTTAAATGTATAGTCAGTGGTATTAAGTATATTTGTATTGCTAATTCAGCCGTCACCATCACTCACTTCCAGGAAACTATCTGGCAAAACTCAAACTCTATGCGCATTAAACAATAACTCTACCTGTGCTAATTTTGGCAGCACATAATACTAAAATTGGAGCAATACAGATGATTAGCATGTCTCTTGCACAATGATGACATGCAAATTCCTGAAGCATTCCATATTCCTAGAAATGAAAAGAGGAGACATTACAAGTGATACCACAGAAATACAAAAAATCATAAGAGATTACTTTGGATAATTATATGACAACAAATTGGACAATTTAAAATAAATCCATGGACTTCTAGACATAGGCAACCTACCAAGACCAAATCATGAAGAAATAGAAAATCTGAACATAACCATACTATCTCAAAAAGATATCCGCACCCCAATGGAGTATTATGTCTCCATCAGAAAGGATGAATACCCAACTTTTATATCAACATGGATGGGATTGGAAGGGATTATGCTGAGTCAAATAAGTCAAGCAGAGAGAGTCAAGTATCATATGGTTTCACTTACTTGTGGAGCATAAGAAATAACAGAGAGGACATTGGAAGATGGAAAGGTGAAGTGACTTGGGGGAAATCAGAGGGTGAGACAAACCATGAGAGACTGTGGACTCTGAGAAACAAACTGAGGGTTTTGGGGGGTGGTGGGGAGAATAGGTGAACCTGGTGGTGGGTATTATGGAGGACACATATTGCATGGAGCACTGAGTGTGGTGCATAAACAATGAATTTTGGAACACTAAAAGAAATTAAATAAAATGGAAAAAAGGAGAAAAAGAAATAAATAAAATCTTTTTAAAAGGGGGAAAAAAGATATCTGCACCCCTATGTTTATTGCAGCATTACTTAAAATAGCCAAGACATGGAAATAACCTGCATGACCATCAACAGATGAATGGATAAAAAAAGTGATATATACATATATTCAATGGAACATTTTTCAGCCATGAGAAAGAAAGAAATACTGACATTTGCAACAACATAGGTGACACTGAGAACATTAAACTAAGTGAAATAATCCAGGCAGAGAAAGACAAAAACTGTATGATCTCACTTATATGTAGAATCTAAAAATGCTGAGCTTACAGAAACAGAGAGAATAGTAGTTGCCAGGGGCTGGTAGTGGGGGAAATGAGGCACAGTTGGGCAAAGGGTATAAACTTCTACTTATAAGAGGAATAAATTATAGAGATCTAATGTATAGTATGATGACTTAACAGTATTGTATTGTTTACTTTAAAGTTGCAATGGGAGTACATTTTAAATGTTCTCACAATAAGAACAATAAAATGGTACTTATACTAATTAAAAATGTGCTAACCTAATTGTGGTAAACATTTATTAAAATATACATGTATCCAATCATCACATTTTACATTTTGAACTCACACAGTGTTACAGTTTTATATTTCAGTAAAGCTGGGGAAAGAACACAATAACTCCCAATTTCCACATCTCTGCAGCCCCAGGCAGCCATCATATTACCTTGTATATCTATGAATTTGACGATTATAACTACTCTGGTTACCTTATAAGTGGAATTGTATGGTTTTTTTTTTTTTTTTTTTACCTTTTTGTAATTGATTTATTTCACTTAGCATAATATCTTCAAAGCTCATTCATGTTGTGTCATGTTGTGGCATGGGTCAGCATTTCCTTCCTTTTTAAGTTGAATAATATTCTACTGTGTATACATGCCACATTTTGCTATCTTTCATCCATTGATGGAAACCTGAGATGCTTCCACATTTTAGCTATTGTGAATAAAGCTGCTGTGAACATGAGTGTACAAACATATCTTCAAGACACTGCTTTAAGTTTTTTTGAAATCTACCCAGAAGTGTAACTGCTGAATTATGTAATGGTTCTATTTTTAATTTTTTGAGGAACTACCAAACTGGTTTCCTGGCTGTTCTTTTCCTGACCACATCATTTTTATATTTCCATCAACAGTGCCTTTGTGTTCCGGTTTCTCCACATCCTCAACACTTGCTATTTTCTATTTTCTTGTTTGTTTTTTTTTAATAGACATTCTAATGGGTATGAGGTGATATTTCATTGTGGTTTTGATTTACATTTCCCTAGTGATTAGTAAGGTTGAACATCTTTTCATATGCTTATCAGCCCTTTGTGTGGCTATCTTTTTGGAGAAAAGTCTATTCAAGTCTTTTGCCCATTTTTAAATCAGGTTGTTTTTATTGTTGAATTTTAAGAGTTCTCTTGTATTTTGAATTATTAATATATAATGTCTTTCCCCAAATCTTGTAATCTTTTTTCTTAATTTAAAGTCTGTTTTATCAGATATTAGCATAGAGTGTCTTAATTTCTCCCTCATATTTGAACAGTATTGCTGGATACCATAGTCTTAGTTGACAGGTCTTTTTTCTTTCAGTGCTTCAAATATATTGGCCTCCTGCTTTCTGGTCTCTAGTGTCTGATTTAAAACTGCTGATAATCTTATTGGGGAATCACTTACCTCTCGTGGCTTTCAACATTTTTATTTTGTCTTTGGCTTTTGACAGTTTGATAGCAATGTGTCTTGGTATGGGTGTCTTTGAGTTCATATTTTTTGGAGATCATTGAACTTCTTGAATCTTTATATATTCGTGTCTTCAAATTTGGAAAAATTTTGGACACGATTTCTTCATATAGTCTCTCTGACCCTTTATTTCACTCTTTTTGGACTCCTCTAATCTGTATATTAGTCCACTTGATGATGTCTTACAGGCCCCTTAGGCCTTGTTCACTTCAATCTTTTTCTTGTTCCTTTCTTTTGACTTGATCACTTCAAATGGCTTAACTATAAATTTATTGATTCTTTCAGCTCAAATCCATCTTTGAATCCCACTAGTAAATTTTTCATTTTAATCATTTTTAATTTTCAGCTCAGAATTTCTTTTTGGTTTCTCTTAGGTTTTTCCACCTCCTTATTGATATTTCCATTTTGTTCATATATTATCTTCTTGACTTTTTCCACATTTGCCTTTAGTTCTTTGAGCATCTTTAGGATAGTTGTTTTAGTCTTTAGTCTAGTCTTTAGTCCAGGTTTGTCATCTGGTCTTTCTCTAGGATGGTTTCTGTAGGTTTATTCTTTTTTTTTTTTTCTTTTTTTTCCCCCCTTAGAGTGGGCTATCCTTTCCTGTTTATTTGTATATCTTATGATATTTTTGTTGATAAGTTCATATTTGAATCTGAAAATGTGATCACTCTGAAAATCAAATTCTTCCCCCAGGGTTTACTGCCTTTTGCTTGCTTGTTTGTTTTGATTCCTGTATACTGTTTCTGTGCTAGGCATAAGCTTGATGTGTAAACTTAAGATCTTTGGAGGCATTGTCTTAGCCTGTGTCTCCCTGAGAACATGTGATGACCTTTAAATTCTCCTATATATACGATTGCTTTTTTATGTCCTAGTCCTTAAATGTCTGAGTTCAGAAAAAGAGAGAAAAGGAAAAATTAAGGAAGAGGGAGAGAAACACCTCTGGCTCTTTAAATCCTCTAGAAATTACTTCATCCAGTAGGGGAAGGACTTGCAACTATATAGTGGTGGTGGTGGTGTAGTGTAACAATGGTTGCCTGCCTCCGTGTTTGCCCCTCCATGATCAGAAGCAGTTATCAGTGATGAGAGCACAGATCTCTGATATTCAGAGAACAGATATTTGGAGCCCAACCTGGTTTTGTAAGCTGCCTGCATGGTGCTCCAACCTGGCTGTCTGCATAGGCCTTGGTGTGGGGTAAAGCATGGGTAGCCACTGCTGAGATAAGAGCTAAAATTGACTGAAATTGACTGTGTTTTGCCTTCCCAGCTTTCCCTTGGAACTTACAAGCCTTGAAATAGACTCCCAGATTTCAAAATAGTTATCCATCAGGTTCTGCCAGTACAAATACTGTCTGGGTGGAGGGATGTATTTCTGGTGCTTCCTACTCTGGCATCTTCCCAGAATTCTAATTCCAACCTGTTACTCTTTCATTCGAAATAATTTTTCTTTAATTCCTCTTTTTTGCCAGGGTTAGTGAACAGAAGATGTGTATCATTGCCCCCAAATATCTGAGATGTGCCACACATCATAAGATAAACACATAGTGAATACATTATTAAGTGATGTTAAATGCTATGATGAAAAAAATAGATGGCTTAGAATCTTATCCTAGAGTAGTTTTCCTACAGCCAAATTCCCACAAGCATGTACTTCCTCTGAAATCTATTCTTGTTTTAATCCTTCCCTTCTATGATGTTATTTAGAATTATTTTTGTGTATATCACATAATAGGTTCAGGCAATATAATTCTGAATTTTATTAAAAGATAAGCTTCATTTTTGCTTTCCTTTTCTAATGAACACGTATCAGGTTTGGCTACACCCCAGTGCAAGAAAGACTCAGCTGTCTGGCCAAGGACAACTCTATCTACCTTGTGGCAAATATTGGAGACAAGAAGCCATGCAATGCCAGTGACTCTCAGTGTCCCCCCGATGGTCATTACCAATACAATACTGATGTGGTCTTTGATTCCCAAGGAAAACTGGTGGCACGCTACCATAAGGTAAAATTATTTTGCCAACAGTTCAGTTACTGAATATTTAACAAAATAAAGTGGACAAGAAGGAAAAATCATTAGTGTTGATAATAAGCATACTTTAGAAGCAGAATAGAGACAATGCATAGAAAGTAATGATTAGGTATGGTAAGCTCCTAAAAGAGGATCAAGGGGTTTTCTGTGCATTTACAAACAGGAATGTGTCTGTGGAAGTGTATGAGAATCAGCAGGAGGTACCTGTATAGAAATACAATGTTGCCTTTTAGACATTGTCCTTTTGAAGACATTCCCTGGCAAATGGGTCAAGCCAAGAAGGAGAAACTACCTACCAGACACTTGATTTTGAAGAGAAAGGAGCAAAGAAAGTTGTTTGTCCACAGAAAATAGTTAAGTGTTCTTGGCAAATAGAAGTTATCTATTTCACTTCTATGTCTTGTAATATTCAAGAGGGTCTTAAAGCTTTGCGCAGCGGCAGTATCATAGCCAAGGAGGTTTATTCGAGACGTGATTACTGCTAATCAAGAGGGTCTTAATAAATAGGGATTCCCATCGACATATCTATAAAATGTGGAGGTTGAGCCAAAGGCTCTTATCAGCCATAATAATCTCTGATTCTCTTATACTTTTTCCCTGTGAAGACAGTGCTCATGGATTAAATTGGCACTAAGAGATGTTGGCTTGCACTTTTTCAGACACAGTAACACACAGGCCAGCTTCTGAAAGGAGACTTTTACTCCCTTCATCTTCTCTTTATTACAGCACAACCTTTTCATGAATGAAAATCAATTCAATGTACCCAAGAAGCCTGAGGTTGTGACTTTTGACACTGTCTTTGGAAGATTTGGCATTTTCACGTGCTTTGATATACTCTTCTATGATCCTGCTGTTACTCTGGTGAAAGATTTCCATGTGGATACCATAGTCTTCCCAACAGCATGGATGAATGTTTTGCCACATTTGTCGGCTATTCAGTTCCACTCAGCTTGGGCAATGGGCATGAGGGTCAACTTCCTTGCATCCAATATACATCACCCCTCAAACAGAATGACAGGTAATGTGTAAACTCTAAGATTTACAAACTTTAAGTAATCAAAAAAGTAAAAGAAAAAGTAATTTTTTTCTAGCTAACATGTACTCTTTAATATTTAATGTTTTCCAACTCTTAATTTTTGCATATCTAGCTGGTGACATACTGTAGAATCTATCTTAGTCTAAATTGTTTTGTAGATTTATTTAGTTTTATTCAACTTACATGCACATTTCTTCTTTTTCTCTCTAAAGTTCACCACTTCCTACATGGAAATTTCTCTTATTGGCTTTTTGGTACCATACTCTGTTGGATTTCCTCTCACTTATTGTCCTTCTCAGTATGTTTTACTGAAATTAATGACATATATAGCTTAGAGAAAGAGTAAATGGTAACAATAAAATAAAACAAACAATAACAACTATGCAGTCCTTTTTTCACTTCTATTTCAAATGTCATTTCCAACATCACTTTCAGGAAGTGGCATCTACGCACCTGATTCTCCACGAGTATTTCATTATGATATGAAGACAAAGAAGGGAAAACTCCTCCTCTCAAAACTGGATTCTTACCCACACCGCCCTGTAGTGAATTGGACTTCTTATGCCAGTAGTATAAAAGGGTTTTCAACAGGAAATCAGGAATTTAAAGGTACTGCCTTTTTTGATGAATTCACATTCTTGGAGCTCACAAGAGTCACAGGAAATTACACAGTTTGTCAGAAAAAACTCTGCTGTCATCTAAGCTACAAGATGTCTGAGAAGAGAACAGATGAAGTTTATGCCCTAGGGGCATTTGATGGACTACATATTGTCGAAGGGTCATATTATTTGCAGGTAATGATCGTTTTGGTGGCAGGGGAGTTAACCAGATAAAATACAGGACACCTAGTTGAATTTTAATTTCACATAAACAATGGATTATTTTTATTATAAGTATGTCTCACTTTTGAGGATACCTATACACTAAAAATTTTGTTTTGACATTCAAATTTAGTTGGGCATCGTGAATTTTTGTTTGCTAAAACTTGAAATCCTAGATGTCAGTCCATTTTAAACTGGCTGGAAAAAAGGCAGAAAATTTATTTACAGTACCTGTATTTAAAATGATAATCAAATTACAGATGATTTTATTTTATTTTATTTTTTTAATTGTATAATTGTGTAATTTTAATTGCATAATTTTTGCAAACTCTTACAGATGATTTTAATGGATGATTAGCCTCTGGTATTTCCTGCCTGAAGAAATTTATCCATTTTCTTTATATGTTCACTAAAACTTCGCTTGTTTCGTTAACTAAGTATGTCTTGGAAACGTATAGGGTTGACCTCTGGGATATGTGTAGAATAGTTTATTACTGCAAAGCTTTGGGTATTTCACAGCCCCCAACACTAGAGGAGGAACTATTTATAGCCTGGTGAGGTGTCACTCCTAAGAACAAACAACTTTCATCTTCCTCTCATTCTACTTGCCTCTTCCTGATCTATCTCCCAACTGATTTCAGGGCTTCCTGTTGACAATTTCAGCTCAATCCAATCTATTTCCTATACTCTAATTATAAAAATTACTAAAAGCCATTTCTGATTATTTCATTCTCTTGCTTAAAATTCCTTGCAGGTTTCTAGTTGGTTTCTAGTTTCAAATTTCTTAACAAGACATACTCAAATTCTTGAAATGTGCCTTTTCCTAATCTCTGTTCTCTTCTGTCATTTCTACTCACATGTGCCCTGGGGTTCTCTCTTACTGAGACATTTCCTCATCCCCAGTGTGTGGGCAACTGCAGACCCTCTGGATGTGTTGTTTCCTTTATCTATGATGGCCCCACCTACTCACCATTCACAGTGCTTTTCAGGTGTTGTCTTCACCAAGAAGGCTGGCCTAACACTTTCTTTAGCACGGCTCCCACCTCCCCACTGGGGCTAAGTGCTTCAGACATCCTATGCTCAGTTTTATCAAGGGCGAAATTTTGCACATGTTGTCTGAGACTGAACCTTTGAGTGCTAGAACTGTGCCCACTGTGCAGTATTCTGTTCGCTGCTGCATGATGAGACTTTACCAATGCTTGCTGATTTGGTAAATGATGCACTTATTGACTGCCTACTATGTAGTAGATACATATTCAGTGCTAATGATACAAAGATGAATAAGTAAAGGCCCTCCTCTTGAAGCATTTAGTAGTGGGGAAAGACATAATGAACAAATGATGTCAGGATAGGTTGGCATGGAGAGAACGTAGAATGCACATTTTGTTGTAGGAATACTAAGAAGCAGTACCTATCCTAATTTGGGGATTCAGGGAACTTTCTGGAGATATGATGTATGAGCTTATGCTATTATCCAGATGAAAAGAGCAAGAGGAAATTCTAGGTGGAGTGGAGTATGAGCAAGGGTGTGGATGCTCAAGAAGTAGGGTATGCAGGTCAGTGTTACTAAGGTGTATTGTGAGAAGCAAGAATTGATGGAAGATGAGCCCAGAGGCAGGCTCACATCTGACAGCTTCTTACCTGTTATTCCTAAAGTTTGGACTTTACTTTCTGGGTAATAGTCTTCTACTGGAAAGTGTTCAGCAAGGGCATGATGTGATCAAATATGTCATTGAATAGATCACTATGGCAGCACTGTGGATGATGAAACTAGGGCAAAAAGACAAGTTAGATTATTAAAATAGTCCTAGATAGTCTCTACCAAGAGTAATGTTAATAGAAGAGCAGGGTATGGAGTCAAGCAAGAAATAGAAAACTTGACTTGTAGCCAATTTGGTACAGAACAGGAAAGCATGGGCACCTGGATGGCTTAGTCTGTTAAGCTTCGGCCTCTGGCTCAGGTCATGATCCTGGAGTCCCGGGGTCGAGTCCCATGTTAGGCTCCCTGCTCCCTGTTTCTCCCTCTGCCCTTCACCTTTTTGTGCTCTTTCTCATGCTCCCTGTCCCCCAAATAAATAAATAAAATATTAAAAAATAGAACAGGAAAGCAGAATGAGGGGACTAGGTTTCTGGCAAAAGCAGCTAGCTGGGTGAATGTAATTCTCTGACAGGTCAGGATGCTAGAGGGGGAGCAGATTGGGTGGCAGTGGGGAGATGCTCAGTTCACTTTGGATGTTCTGGTTTTGAGGTATTTATGGGACATTCAGCTGGAGCCACAGTACTTGATATCACCAGCAGAGTCTGGGGCAGCACCCCAGATCAAACATGTTAATGTCTGCTGGAAAACATGGGACTCTTCATCCTAAATAACTTAAAAAAATAATAACTTTATGTTGGTTCAAGTTAGGTCTCAATGTCAAATGTGCTACAAGTCCTTTATTTAATTTAGAGAAGCTTGGTCTTAGAATTGAGGATGAGGGAGTTTGGTGTTGTATTATATTCATAATCTCCCAAAGTCTGTGATGATATTTAATGCTAGAAAAATCTCTATAACACCAAAATCTATTTCTTAACTAATGAGAGAAGAGAAAGAAAAGGAGATAAGAGTACAACTCTGCATCTTGCCACAGAGATTTTCCAAGTGTTCTAGAGTAAATTTTAAGGACGTGGGGAAAGGTGCTTGTAGCATTTTCTAGAGTAGAAGATGGTAAAAGATTGGGTAGAGATTTATAGCAGATGTTATAGAAGAGTGGGAGAAGGAGCAGTCTACATATTTTAAAGAATCATTGGGTAACCAATGAATAAAGAAGGAATAAACTAAATGAAAGAAGTTCATTCCCTTTACCCAATATACTTTGAAAACTTTCCTCTTCAGATTGCTTTCTATACCCTTTGCCTCTCTGTTTCCTCCCACCAAGGTCAGTCATCCAAATCACTGGCCTATCAGTCTTCTAGAATGTAAAGCTATTTCCCAACAGGGTAAGAAACTAGGGATAACAATTCTACTAAAAAACAAAGATTAAGTTCTGGGGCACAACACAATAGGGTGGGAACATAGATTCTGGAGTCAGAAGTTCTGGATAATGGCTACCCGGCCTTGAGCCAGCCTTTAGCCTCTCTAAACCTCTGGTTCGTCATAACATATAGATTATTTTCATTCACCAAATATTTATGTAATGCTTTCTGTGTTCAAGCACTTGACAGAGACTGAAGATATTAAGATGGAGGAAGACAGATATAGTCACTGTCTTCATAGAACTTAACACTAGTGGGTAAACAGGATTGAGCAGAAACCTAAGAAAATCACTAGTTAATTTTAGTTGGTGACCAATGCCATAAAAGGAAACTACTATGGACAATTAAAGCATATAACTGGAGGATGCAACCTAGTCCTAAGAGGGGAATTAGGATAATTAATAATAATAATAATAAAATTCTTTATAGTTTTGGGGATGTTTGATTTCATAAATATAAAGAGTTTAGCACTGTGCCTAGCACCTAGAAAGTCCTCGGTAAATGTTAATTTTTATTATTATTATTGTTAATAAAAGTAACATAAGATAATTATTAGACCTATACCATCAGGTTTTATTTACATAAACACTGGCTTCATTGCAAGCAGCTCCTGATTCAACTCCTTTATTTCTTTAGTCCTTCTCATAGTCTCAATGTCCTATCCCTTCCTACTACCTGGATTGGTCCTATCACTTCTTTCTTCATTTTTATCAAAATAATGCATGAACATAACTAAGAAGACAAATAGCAATGAAGGCTTGTAAAACACTTGTGCCTTCCATAATCCACCCAGTTCCTCTTTCTGAAGGCAAACCTTTTTGCATCTTTTAACTGTTTCTTCTGAAATTTACTCATCTGACACCATCTACCTGGAGCTAATGCAAAGGTCTGTTTGTTTCTTTAAGCGATTTAATCTGTTTGGCTGAATTGGAGAAAACACTAAGGACTGAAGTCCTTTATTTTTATGACTAGTTGAATTAGCTGTGTATCAATGAACTAGATTAATCTAATTAAAAAACATTTTATCAAACAAAGGGGAAAAGGCATTACATAGGCATTATTTCTAGGTCGGGAGGGTATATTAATTGGCTTTCTTAGGACTTACTGGTTTGCATTTACTTTCCTAGATTTGTACTCTGCTGAAGTGTAAAACAGCAGACTTAAACAGTTGTGGCAGTGCAGTTGAAACTGCTTCTACCTGGTTTGAAATGTTTTCCCTCAGTGGCACTTTTGGAACCCAGTATGTCTTCCCTGAGGTGTTGCTAAGTGAAAATCAGCTTGCTCCTGGAGAATTTCAGGTAAGAAACTTTGCTTAATATTGATAATTCATTTCATGTAAGAGGAAGTGCTTTTTGAGTACAAAACCTACAAATACCAAATATAAATATTTACAAATATCTTACAACTCTCCATTTGGAAAGAATAATATTGTTCTTGGGGAATCATTAAGGACACTGATCAGGTTGAATTTCTTATCTGGAAATCTGTAGTATAATGATTAGTGTATCCTAGAGAATACATAAATATATTATTGTGGAGACTATTGGGAGGAGACTGGGCTGTTTTGGGTCTGTTGAGTAGGAATAAGACTCTTGAGAGGGTTTCAGGACTGGGCCCACCAGAGGAAACCCCTTCACATCATGGGCAGTGATAGCCTAGCAAAGTTAAAGGGAATTCCTCTCACTGTGTGGGTAAAGACCCAGTGGCCAAAATAGGCAAGAAAGCGAACACTTTTTTTTTTTAAAGTCCAGAAGTACTTCTTACTGCATAAACTCTGCCCAATCATATTCTTTCCCTGATTTACCTGTGGGTTTTGCTTTTATTCTGCCTTCCTTGTAGGAATAGCTACTGTGGGAGTACTAGGGACAAAGAACAGGTTGGGAGGCTGCGGTGAGTAAGTGACAGGGATGACAGAGGTTCCGTTCAAAACCCCTCAATCACTCCCTTCTGTCCACTTGGAGGAGCCTATTATGTCTGAGAGGACTAGATTTCTCTATGATACTCCCAAACCCATTGCTTTATGCTAACTGATTCATGGAATACATCCTCAAATAAGTAAATGATAAGATATTGATGATAGCCATTTCAATAATAAATGCATCAGTGCCAATTCTATTTCTGCAATTTTTCTTATACTCTGTACCATTTCAAAATTTCTTTTAGAAGAGAAGTTAGCCATTATTTTTTTATTTCTTCATCCAGTTGTGCTGATTTTTAGAAGTTGTTGTGTGGTTGTATAACTTAACGGGGAGACCCAGCCAACTTGTCTGTGTTTTAATTAGGTGTCAAGTGATGGACGCTTATTCAGTGTGAAACCGCCATCTGGACCTCTCTTGACCGTGACTCTGTTTGGGAGAGTGTACGAGAAGGACCAGATATTAAACGCTTCATCAGACCTCCAGGCACAAACACTAGGAATAATGCTCTTAGTCATAATACCAATTGTGTGCTCATTAAGTTAGTAGAATATTTCTCTTTTATTTTGTGTAATTAAAAAAATGATGGCTGAGAAAAGGATGAAGATCATAACAATGGTCATGGTCTCTTGTACAAGTAAATACAAATACATATACATATATAGTTCACGGATTTTACACACACACACACACACACACACACACACACACACACCACCCCCAGATAATAGAAGCCAGATAAATAGTGACATCATTTTGAAAGGTTAAAATCTATAAAATGAGGGTAACAGTTTTACTCACAATTTTAGTTTTTTTTTTTTTTTTTAAATTAAATAATTGAATGCATTTAAAGTCCTTAGACAAGTTTCTGGATCATGGAAAGTACTGGATATGTGCTAGCTATTCACAACTGTATAATTATCACAGTAAAACCATGTGTGATATTTTTATTGCTAAAATTACATCACCTCTGATTGTCTAAATTTTTAAACATCTTCCACAGACTTAGCGACCCTCCATATTTCAATTAGAAAATCAATGAACTCAACATCAGCTAATTGGTTTAGGTTTGATACCTAGCAATGACATATTCTGGAAGGCAGCTGGACATACAACTCTAACAACCTGTTAGAGGGCCTTCACTTTTTTGAATGTTTTTCCGTGCCTCTTTAGTGTTTTACCTATCTTGTTAGCCTGTAAGCATATCAATAGGGTGGTTCTTTTTTTTTTTTTTTTTTTTTGATAGGGTGGTTCTAAAGCAAACATTTTACCAAATCAGTACTGTGATAAGTTTTTGCATGGCCTTAGGTTTTTATGTTTCTAAATGGTTGAAAAACAAAGAAGAATCAAAAGAATAATATTGTGTGATATGTGAAAATGATCTGAAATTCAAATTTCAGTCTCCATACCTAAAAGTTTTATTGAGCACAGCCATGTTTATTTAAGTGCTGCTTATGGTTGTTTTTATGCTATGGTGGCGAAGTTGGGTAGTTGGGACACAGACCCTATGGCCAGAAAAGCTGCCATTGCCTTGTTCTTTACCGAAAAAGTTTGTTGACTCCTGCCCTGAAGTATAAAATAACAATGGATAATAGTATTGAAAACCTTTAAAACAACTCAGGGGGCAAATTGTCTTTAAGTGTCTTTCTTGTAATTCTTTCACAAAAGGAAAAATAAAATATCTTTACTTGTTTTGTATGGTATACCATCACACACACACACACACACACACACACACACACACACGAGACTACCCTGATTAACTTACAACCAAATGTGCTAAGTAAACTAATACCTTGAATAAGTAAGCTAATTTTTATGAACATTATTATTTATTCACTAAAGGATACACACTGCAAAGTTTTTTGGTTTTTTGGTTTTTGGGGTTTTTTTTTTGCATTTGGTATGTTCTAAAATTCCTGAGAGGAAGCATGTTAGTTTTTATTTTCAAATTTTTCCTGGAAATCAATTAAGAACTACTCATCTGAACATAGTATCTAATATTTTCCCTGTGACAAACTTACTAGCTTGTCTTAGCATGATTTTTTTTAAAGTTAAACATTACACATAGTGAGTTTACCTTTTAAAAATATTTACTATGTCCATACCCAGCTCTGATTACTAGATTTCTTTAAGATATATGTTTTTATGATAGCTTTGATATGCTTCCTAACTGTGATTTTTATTTCCTCTGCATAAAACATTTGTGATGCTCTTTTAATACAAACAACCCAATTCCAAAAAAGATCAATGCTCAAATATGTTTTCCTTAATCTCTTTGTACCTCAATGAATTTGAGTGGTCTAAAGAGCAATTTTTGATACTCCTTCATTTAAAGATATAACTTATTGTCAAACTCCTGCTGATGTAAAACACACACACACACACACACACACACACACACACACACACACAGTCTTTTACTGTAGTAACCCTCTTCCAAGATGGTCCCCAGTGATCCTCACCTCCAGGCTCCATGGAGAAATTCTCCCTGATTGTTTTGTTGCTATTGATTCTTGTATTTTTTTTTTTTTTTTTTTTAAAGAAAGAGACATAGATAGTGAGCACATTAGTGGGGAAGGGGAAGGAGCTGAGGGAGAGAGAGAATCTTAAAGGCTCCATGCCCAGTGCAGAACCGAACACAGGGCTCAATCTCATGACCCTGAGATCATGACCTGAACTGAAATCAAGTCTGATGCTTAACTGCCTGAGCCACCCAGGCACCTGTGATTCTTATTTTCTTATGTAGTTCCTGAGCCTTGTCACTTATAATAAATCTGAATCCATTGCCACTTTTACTGTAACACATATCTCTTACTCAGCTCTGCTTAAGTGTTCAAAAGATTTTACTTATTCGTTCTTTTAGTTTTTTTATCTAAACAGTATATTTCAGGTCTCATAGACTGAATTGTGTCCCCTCTCAAAGTCATATATTGAAGTCTCAACTTCATACCTGAGAATGTGATTGTATTTGGAAATAGGGTCTAAGGAGATAAAATGATGGCATTAGGGTGGACCCTAAGCCAGTATGACTGGTCTTGTCAGAAGAGGGGATTAGAACATAGACATGCACCAAGTGGAAACTATGTGAAGACACAAAGCAAGATGGCCATCTACAAGCCAAGGAGAGAGCCTCAGAAGAAATCAACCCTGCTGATAGTTGATTTGTATTTCTAGTCTCCAGAGTCTTGTAAATAAATTTTTGTTGTTTAAACTAATCCGTGGTACCTTATTATGGCAACCCTAGGAAACTAATACAGGTTCCAACCCCCTCTCTCCTCCATTTCCACCATAAGTTGAAGCTTAGAATGGTTGCCCAGTTAAGAGTATCAAGCTAGCCTGGTTCCCCAAGACTCAGCTAGATCCTCTTAGAGAAGCATTGCTGATGAACTGATAGTGAAACCATCAGATCACTGAAGATTCTCTGGAGTTTGGAAATCAGAAGTTCACGTGGATGAAATCGTGTAATTAATCTGACCTTAAATGTTATTTTTCTGTTGACATCATACAATTTAGTGAAATGAAGAACATCTTTTAAGTCAAAATATCTCTCAACTGGTAGACTATCCACTATCCACAGAACCCTGAAATCAGACCTACACTGTGCAAAATACACCCTTCTGCAAAGGAGAGCAGTGATCCCTACCAGCAATACAGCATTTTGAAATAAAAAAAAATTTTTGGCAGATGCTTTTCTTAAAAACTACTATATCATCCAATAAGTATTTGAGTAAAATTCATCTTTTGGGTGGAATTAACTGTCTTTAAAAAAGAAAAAAGACCCATTAGAAAATAAACCCCTGTGTATTTAGGAAGCAAGCCTCAATTCCATCATAGAATTTTAAAGAAGAGAATTTCAACAGTGATAAGTTTAAAATATTAAAGGCTTCAATAAACTATGCTTTTTTTTCTGTTCAATTTTTACAAATACATTATATATCCATTGTAGCATAACAAATTACTGTCAATATAACAGCTTAAAACAATATATTATCTATACACAGTTTCCAGGAATCAGGATCTGGAAATGGTTTAAATGGGTCTTCTAGCTTAAGGTCTCAAAGTTGTAGTGAACCTGCTCAGGGGTTCAGTCATCTCAAGTTTTGCTGGAGCTGAAGACTCTGCTTCTAAGCTCACTCATATGGCTGTTAATGGGCCCCAATCCCTTGCTGAAAGTTTTCTGAGGCCTTTGTTCCTTATGCATGGGCTGCCTGAAAGTCTTCACAGAAAGGCAACTGGCATCTCCTACAGTGAGTGATGAGAAAGATAGGTAGAATAGAGGTAGAGAGAGAGAAACAGAGAGATGGAAGGATGGAAGGTTCAGTCTTTTATATCTTAATTGTGGAAGTGGCAACAGTTCTGCCATTTATTATTAGCCACCCAGACTAACAGTGGTACAATGTGGGAGAGAATCACCCAAAGTTGAGAATATCAAGAGACAAAGATCCTTGCAGGTCAGCTGGGATGCTGGCCATTACAGTTAGTATACATAATATATTTTATATATATATATATACACACACACACACACACACATATATATATATATACACAGGATTTTTCCTTTTTTATATTAATATATATTATATATTTTTTTTGCTGTATACTTTTTGCTGTATATGTAATAGATGCTTCAAAGTGGACTCTTAATATTTATATCTGAAAGGTATTGTGCCAAAAAAATTTCTACAGTTACTTTCTATAATAAAGATTAAATTTAGTGAGTTCAGCTTTTGGTCTGTAATAAAATTCAAATTGCCTGGGTTAACTCATTTGTGGCAACACCATCTTCTCCTGATATACACCTGTCACTTTTACATTCACTTCTCAGAATTCTACTTTATAAGAATATACATTAAAAAGTAAAATAGAATAAACAGCATAAATTCCAGAATCATTAATTCATGAAATGACACTACTAAGAAAAAGGTCTTTAAGAACATGAGCATATTTACTTTTTTATAATCAGTGAGGATTTTTTCCAATAATCTATAAAAATTAATATATTAACGTGGAAAAAGTTGACTTAGATAGTTAAAGCGTTCTGAATATCAAGAGGTATATGGTAACAAATCAACCAGAAAGTCATCAGTGTCAAAAGCCATTCTGAAACCTATCACTTGGCTCTTATACTGAAAATTAACTCCACATTCCTCACATTCTTCTGATTCTCTATTCTAGATGTCTTGGGCATACTCTAAATGCATGACCTTAATTTTAGTTTTTGAACAGAGTCCTAGATGTGGAAAATATTTTATATCCACTAGCAATACATAGGTAACATGTTCTCATTTATAATAGGTTTACATTCTTCTTCCACTTTGACATATTGAAATCACTCAATAAATGATTAATGTCTGCCATGAGTCACCAGGGCTGTAATTTATCATTCCTTTATTCTCCAACCTATAGTGATATTATACCCCTTGCCTCCTACCCCATTTTTTTGTTGTCAGCCTCTGACCTGCCAGTTGCAAGCCAATACCACCAGTTTCTTTAAACTTTTCTTGCCCTTGCCATTAATCTGAAGGAAACTTTATCTTCTTACCCA